GAATTCTCATCCCCATTTGGCTCTTATCTTCAGAGCAGAAGCCTGGGGTGACATCAGGAATTCTGTTCACAGGGATGCCACCCCGTTGTGTATGGTATCATCTATGGAACTTTCTAAAGATTCAATGCCCAGGGGACATCTTAGAAATGCTGCTTCGGCAGCTGCCCAGCTAAGGTGTATGCCCAGCCAGAATGAGACCCCATGATGTGGGGATGGGGAAGCCCCTCCCCATCTCCTGTGCACAGGAAGGGCCTGCAGGTCCTGCTAAAAATGCAGATTCTGACTCAGAAGGTGTTTGGTGGACCCGGCAGTTTCCATCTAACAAGCTGTCAGGAGATGCTGATCATACTGGCCTGCAGAGCACTTTCAATGGCAAGGTTGATGGGGATCCCTGCTCCCTAAAAGGACAACCTACCTACTTAACCCCACCCTGTCCTGTGCTGTGCTGGCCATTGGTCCATCAGCACCACACAGAGAGCCCCAGGGATTCCCAAACCCAGGGGATGATTTATTTGTGTGACACAGAAACCCAGCTGGGCACCAGACCTTCCCCGAGTTCTCAAACTGCTGGGAAGGTTGGATTTCCTCCTAGCAGGAAGGTCACTGAGGTGACTCTAGGGGTGAGAAGGAGTCGTCTGAGTGATGACTGGTGAGGGGATCCACCTTCTGTCTTTGGGTGTCACCAGCATGGTTTCTGCTTCCAGGGACAGAGTCCCAGGACCAGAAGTCTTGGTAGGACCTTTAGTGTGTGTGTGTGTGTGTGTGTGTGTGTGTGTGTGTGTGTGTGTGTGTGTTTTTTGGGGGAGGAGGGGAGTGTCCTGCGTGTCCTGGGAAGAGGGGACTGTGGTGGGAGGTCATGTGGCTGTGAGCTCCCTAGCTATTGAGGGCCATGATTTTAGGGAAATCTTCCCTCTCCCTGTATGTTGGCTAAGCCGGTTCATGTGCTCTCTGACCCTTGGGGCAGGCAGCCTCTATCCTCTAACTGAGGAACTTGCTTGTGGTCCCTCTGCCTTCCCCATGGTGGTACAAGGCAGGGAGTGGGGAGCTGCACAAGGTCCCTGAGAGAGCAGGTGCTCCTAGTCCCCTAGAAGGGGCCTATAGGACAAAGTGGACACATGGGAGGGGCCCAGAAGGGTCTGTGATATGAAAATCAGGCTCCTTTCGAATCTTCTTAATCAAAGCCAGGTTCCTCTGTTAATTTCCTATTGTTTGTGTGTCCCAACGTCGCCTCCTGGAGGGCATAAGGTGACCTGCGGCTGCATC